CGGTCCACGCGACGACCGAGACGCCAACGGTCCACGCGACGACCGAGGCGCCAACGGTCCACATAACGACCACGAGGAACACGGGATTAGGACTCATGTCGATGGAGGTGATTAATACGGACCAACCGATATGGATTATTTTGCGGCCGATATGATTCAGATAAAACAGAAGTTGGAGCAGCTGATGTAAAAACCCATATATTTAATGATGTAAAAATCCACTGTAAATCTTGAATTGATTATAAAACTTAGTTCTGGCTCTACTGGATTTAAATTAAGTTTGTTTGGGCGACGTTTCCTGTTCTTCTGCCTCTAATAACTCACTAAAATAACTAACTCTTTATGTCATATTTAAAGATTTAAAGAAGGTCGGACTAATCACATTCTGACCTGTACAGAAAGAAAGTAAACTACCGCTTTCAGACTTTAGAGGTAAATGAGCCGCAGTAATTAATTATTCACATTCATTCACACGTCTCATTCACACATCAGTGCAGGTCCAGTCACATGTGCACACACTAGAGGCACTTTACACTAGAACAATGTAAGAAAAAAACAAAAACAAAACAGACTTTTTATGTGGAGTTACAGCAGCGAAACAACAAGAAAGAACCAAAACCCTCACACAGGCTCCTCTCAGATCACAAGTCTGAACTCATAAGTGTCCCTTTAATCCTGACTCAAAACAATCGTCTGTAAAAATAAAATAATCCAAGTGCACATGAGTGATGTGACTCTGGTGGTGCGTTCAGGGGCAGTACACTGTCACAGACAAATGACTCCACAGATAAATCCCGATGTGGTGCCACAAATTAGGACATTTATGTGTCTGTAAATTGGATTAAATGGACAGAATATAGAGTCTAATCCAGTCCATTTTATTTCCAGAGCACATTTCACAAACCGTTTGATTGAAGATTGAATCATACTCGTCTTAAAATAATAAAACCAGTAAAATAAAATAAAATAAGAACAAAATCATAGAATAACAATAAGTAAATAAAACCAATAAAATACATAAAAAATAAATAAAAGACACAGAGAGTCTAAGCTTTATAACAAGTTGGCAAAATGTAGGTCAAGAGCTGATTGACAGGCCTGAATCCAGACTAAACCAGGACTAAACCAGGACTCAACCAGGACTGAGTGTTGGGACGGGCCTGTGTAGACCGTTGGGTGACCGTAGGTGAAAAACCAGCGCAGAGCTCCTCGTCCCACTGGGCTAAAGCCGTCGCCCAATAATCACAGTCTGTGGACAACCTGCTCCACGGGCTCAGGGTTCTCTCTCTCAAGTCCAAGATTAGTCCTGGTTCAGTCCTGGTTCAGTCCTGGTTCAGTTATGGTTTAGTCCGTGTGCAGTGTCTTGATCGATGTTTCTTCTGCCTGTGAAGTGATGACGTATTTTTGACGGTCGAGTTGCGTCTGTGAGGTAATATTTTTACTCATTCAAGAGTTTATGAACATTTATTTTATGCTGAGCTGTGCAATAAATATGCACAGATTTCCCAAATATACAAGGATTTCTGTCCTCTGCACATGAATATTTGTGAAAGCTTCGTGCCTTTCACCTTTTCATCTCGGTGAGTAGCAGCTGCACTGACATGGACCCTGCAGTGACGCACATGCCTCCTGCTAGCACCTCCTCACCTCCTTCATGTAACAGTCCTCACACCGTGGTCCTTTCACCTGTCACATCGTGGTCCTTTCACCTGTCACGCCCCCTGTCGGTCTGGAGCGGCGTCTGCAGCGTCAGGTTTCCCCGTTCACCTGTCAAACCCGCGAGTGTCGACTCCACTCTGAACCGTTCATCTAAAGCTCCGCACCAACGCTGAATTTACACCGAGACCCAGAGACCCCCCCCCCGGGCCCCTCAGGTGAGCTGCTGGAGCTGCTGGAGCTGCTGGAGCTGCTGGAGCTGCTGGAGGTGGTGGAGCTGCTGGAGGTGCTGGAGGTGCTGGAGGTGCTGGAGCTGCTGGAGGTGGTGGAGCTGCTGGAGCTGCTGGAGCTGCTGGAGGTGGTGGAGGTGCTGGAGGTGCTGGAGCTGCTGGAGGTGCTGGAGGTGCTGGAGGTGCTGGAGGTGGTGGAGGTGCTGGAGGTGCTGGAGCTGCTGGAGGTGGTGGAGGTGCTGGAGGTGCTGGAGGTGGTGAGGTGCTGGGTGCTGGAGCTGCTGGAGTGGTGGAGGTGCTGGAGGTGCTGGAGGTGGTGGAGCTGCTGGAGCTGCTGGAGCTGCTGGAGGTGGTGGAGGTGCTGGAGGTGCTGGAGCTGCTGGAGGTGGTGGAGCTGCTGGAGGTGGTGGAGGTGCTGGAGCTGCTGGAGGTGCTGGAGGTGGTGGAGGTGCTGGAGGTGCTGGAGGTGCTGGAGGTGGTGGAGCTGCTGGAGGTGCTGGAGGTGCTGGAGGTGCTGGAGGTGCTGGAGGTGCTGGAGGTGGTGGAGGCTGGAGGTGCTGGAGGTGCTGGAGCTGCTGGAGGTGTGGAGCTGCTGAGGTGGTGGAGGTGCTGGAGGTGCTGGAGGTGCTGGAGCTGCTGGAGCTGCTGGAGCTGCTGGAGGTGCTGGAGCTGCTGGAGCTGCTGGAGGTGCTGGAGGTGGTGGAGGTGCTGGAGGTGCTGGAGCTGTGGAGCTGGTGAGGTGCTGGAGGTGCTGGAGGTGCTGGAGGTGCTGGAGGTGGAGGTGTGGAGGTGCTGGAGGTGCTGGAGCTGCTGGAGTGGTGGAGGTGGTGAGGTGGTGAGCTGCTGGAGGTGCTGGAGGTGGAGGTGGTGGAGGTGGTGGAGCTGCTGGAGGTGCTGGAGCTGCTGGAGCTGGTGGAGGTGCTGGAGGTGCTGGAGCTGCTGGAGCTGGTGGAGGTGCTGGAGGTGCTGGAGCTGCTGGAGCTGCTGGAGCTGCTGGAGGTGCAGAGTAAAGAACATTATTCATAATGTGCTGGAGTGTCAGATTAAGGCGAGAGCAGCGAGAGGAGCACAGCTGGAGCCAGAGAGAAGAGTCTCTGATGAAACACAGACCTCAGACAGAATTAAAGCTGCACTCTGTAACTTTACTGCTGGAGGGTCAGACACCTGCTGAAAATAAACTCTGACCCCAGCGGATCCTCCTGACCTCACTGTGACGTTTTACATCTCAATACTGAACTGAAAGAAACAAGAGCAACGACTAAACCAGGACTAAAAAAGAACTAAAACAGGACTTAAAAAGGACTAAACGATGAATAAAAAAGGACTAAACCAGAGCTAAACCAGGTCTAAACCAGGACTAGACCAAGACTTAACCAGGACTTTAAAAAGGACTAAAACAGGACTAAACCAGGACTAGACCAGGACTGGACCGGACTGTGGACGGTCTTTGTGGTGGTTCTGTTCGGTTTTCGTTTGTAGATTTGCAGAAAAATCTCGACTCGAGTCAAAGTGATTTTCAAACGTGTCAAAAGTCGCTTCTCGTTCTTTTCGCCGCAGACGGAGACTCACTTTTCACACTTTTCAACACAATAAGGTTGAATAAAAGTCTAATTCTAAACGTTTCCTAATCACTGCGCTTCTTTTATTCTAATATTGATTTTTTGCCGCTCAGATTTTTTTTTACTTTATCAAACGTCTGAAATATTTAGTGGATGTTTCTGTTTTTTGGATCACGAGGGCCACAGGGGGGCGCCAGAGAAAAACTGTTGTTGTGTCCTTAAGCAAGACACTTCACACACATTGACTAGTGTGGGTATGTGTGTGCGTGTGTGTGTGTGTGTGTGTGTGTGTGTGTGTGTGTCTGTGTGTGCGTGCGTGTGTGTGTGTGTGTGTGTGTGTGTGTGTGTGTGTGTGAGGGGCCCAAGGTGCAGACGTGACTACAATTATTATTATTATCATTATTATTATTATTATTACTGTTGTCGTTGTTGTTTGTTGTTGTCGTTGTTGTTTGTTGTTGTCGTTGTTTGTCGTTGTTGTTGTCGTCTTGAATCGTGTGCGTTCGCTGCAGTTGTGTGTCAGTCTTCAGGTTGTGTTACTGTGACAGGCGTCTGTGTGTTTTTTTACACTGATTCTGACAGGATCTGTGCGGGGCCACACTCGCCCCCAGGCTAAAGCGCACACAGTCCCTCTGCGACGCACAACAATACACACTATACACACACACACACGCACAACTCACACACACACACACAACTCACACACACACACACACACGCACAACACACACACACACACACACGCACAACTCACACACACAACTCACAGACAGAATACACACAAATACACACAAACGCACAACTCAGACCAGAGAATATCACACACACACACAGAGAGTGTACAGTAGTCGTTGTGTTGAGCTCTGATCTTGTTTCTGTGTAAAATCTGAAGAGTCAGAATCAGAATTTATTTGTCATTTCTGTAAAAAAAAATACAGAAAAATGAAAGTGTCCTCTGTGTGTGTCCTGTGTGTGTCCTCAGTCTCCTCCGTTTGTCCTCTGTGTGTGTCCTCAGTCTCCTCCGTTTGTCCTCTGTGTGTTCTCTATGTTAGAGTCTTGCAGGACTCGACACAAAACAGTGCAGAGTGGGACACATTTTAAAAGCTCATCGCGGTCGCGGGCAGAAGTGGGACTGGACGATGTGGGAGTCGGGGGACGCAGGCGCAGGCAGGAGCTGGTGGGAACGGGACACTTCAGTCCCATAAACTAAATCTGTGTGTAAAGTAAAATATACAAATGATTCATGTTTGTCTATTATTCATCATCTGTGCTGGACATTTTATTTGACTTTAATAAAAACATTTTTCGCAGCCTAAACTTGTGGACGTTTCTAATGTCACAAAACATCTAGACAATTAATTTTCACTTCTGTGTGTTTAGAGTTTAAGAAAGAAAATGACGAGAGCAGGACAAAATATCACAGATGTGGAGGGAGAAGGAATGAAAATTCTGTCCCGCGCAGAACCTCTGCTCTGTGTCCTCAGAGTGTCCTCAGTGTCCTCACTGTCCTCTGTGTGTCCTCACTGTGTCCTGACTGTCCTCTGTGTGTCCTCAGGGTGAAGACTGCTCGACCGTTTGTCCTCCAGGTTTGTTTGGTCCCAGCTGCACGTCCACCTGCTCCTGCCACAACCACGCCTCCTGTAACCCCACTGACGGAGCCTGTGTGTGCACCGAGGGTACGACAACAACACAACACACAACAACACACAACAACACAACACACAACAACACACAACAACACACAACACACACAACAACACAACACACAACAACACACAACAACACAACACACAACAACACCTAGTGTGACACTACACTGAGGGAGTCACACACTGAGGGAGTCACACACTGAGGGAGTCACACATGGGGGAGTCACACATGGGGGAGTCACACATCGGGGGTTTGTGGAGACGAGCAGAGAGATTCACAAAACACACAGTAAAAGTTTTGCATTTCAACCTTGGGAGCCTCATGAATTTTAACTTTGGCCTTCGCAGAAACAGTTTGGTTTGGTTTAATTGTGTGTAGCCCTGGAGCCGTGCACTGCCTCAGGCCCCCTGCTGCCCCCTGCTGCCCCTGCTGCCCCTGCTGCCCTCTTCTGCCCCCTGGTGCCCCCTGCTGTCCCCTGGTGCCCCCTGCTGTCCCCTGGTTCCCCCTGGTGTTCTGGTCAGGTTTAGACTCTGTGGACTCGTCATATCATCGTCTGGAATCTAAACACAGTGACTTATGGGGACATTTTGTTTTGTAGGGACCAAGTCTGAGTCTCCTGGAGGTAAAGGATCAATATTTGACCAAAATCAAGTTCAGATTCATTTAGTTTAAGGTCAGGGTTTGAGTTAAAGCAACACTGCGTAACTTTCCGGTGGCTTGACTCCGTGGAAACAGAAAGTTCACACATGGAGACACAGTGCACACATCGGCAAACAGAAACTCCAGTTTAGGAGTTTGATTTTACACTAAAAGGTCCCCGTTTCCTGTTTCACAAGGACAGTCCCAGTTTTGAGTCTGTGTCCCTGTCGCAGCCAGAGCAGCCGTGGGGTGTTAAAAGTCTTTAAAAGGTCTTAAATTTCATCTTCCTAAATTAAGGCCTTCAAAAGTCTTAAATTATGTCATCCAAGTCTTATTTTTTTCACAAAGGTCTTGAATTTCATTAGCCTATTTTTTTAAAACTCACCCGGGCTGCAGTGCGACGTTAAACAGAGGGAGGGGAAAAAACAACATGAATCAACATGTAAGTTGGAGTTTGTGCAAACAAGACTTTGGTTTCTGGAGTCGGCGGCAACGAGTAAAGGACACAGTGACTCAGTGGAATATGAGTGTTCTCTCTGTGTCAGAGGGGTGTTCTCTCTGTGTCAGAGGGGTGTTCTCTCTGTGTCAGAGGGGTGTTCTCTCTGTGACAGAGGGGTGTTCTCTCTCTGTGACAGAGGGGTGTTCTCTCTGTGTGTCAGAGGGGTGTTCTCTCTGTGTCAGAGGGGTGTTCTCTCTGTGTCAGAGGGGTGTTCTCTCTGTGTGTCAGAGGGGTGTTCTCTCTGTGTCAGAGGGGTGTTCTCTCTGTGTCAGAGGGGTGTTCTCTCTGTGTCAGAGGGGTGTTCTCTCTGTGTCAGAGGGGTGTTCTCTCTGTGTGTCAGAGGGGTGTTCTCTCTGTGTGACAGAGGGGTGTTCTCTCTCTGTGTGACAGAGGGGTGTTCTCTCTGTGACAGAGGGGTGTTCTCTCTGTGACAGAGGGGTGTTCTCTCTGTGTGACAGAGGGGTGTTCTCTCTGTGTGACAGAGGGTGTTCTCTCTGTGACAGAGGGGTGTTCTCTCTGTGTGACAGAGGGGTGTTCTCTCTGTGACAGAGGGGTGTTCTCTCTCTGTGACAGAGGGGTGTTTCTCTCTGTGTCAGAGGGGTGTTCTCTCTGTGACAGAGGGGTGTTCTAGAGGTGTCTCTCTGTGACAGAGGGGTGTTCTCTCTGTGTCAGAGGGGTGTTCTCTCTGTGACAGAGGGTGTTCTCTCTGTCTGTGTCAGAGGGGTGTTCTCTCTGTGACAGAGGGGTGTTCTCTCTGTGTCAGAGGGGTGTTCTCTCTGTGTCACAGAGGGTGTTCTCTCTGTGACAGAGGGGTGTTCTCTCTGTGTGTCAGAGGGGTGTTCTCTCTGTGTCAGAGGGGTGTTCTCTCTGTGTCAGAGGAGTGTTCTCTCTGTGTGTCAGAGGGGTGTTCTCTCTGTGACAGAGGGGTGTTCTCTCTGTGTCAGAGGGGTGTTCTCTCTGTGTCAGAGGGGTGTTCTCTCTGTGTGTCAGAGGGTGTTCTCTCTGTGACAGAGGGGTGTTCTCTCTGTGTCAGAGGGGTGTTCTCTCTGTGACAGAGGGGTGTTCTCTCTGTGTGTGTCAGAGGGGTGTTCTCTCTGTGACAGAGGGGTGTTCTCTCTGTGTCAGAGGGTGTTCTCTCTGTGTGTCAGAGGGTGTGTTCTCTCTGTGACAGAGGGGTGTTCTCTCTGTGTCAGAGGGGTGTTCTCTCTGTGACAGAGGGGGTGTTCTCTCTGTGACAGAGGGGTGTGTTCTCTCTGTGTCAGAGGGGTGTTCTCTCTGTGTGTCAGAGGGGTGTTCTCTCTGTGTCAGAGGGGTGTTCTCTCTGTGTCAGAGGGTGTTCTCTCTGTGTCAGAGGGGTGTTCTCTCTCTGTGTCAGAGGGGTGTTCTCTCTGTGACAGAGGGGTGTTCTCTCTCTGTGTGACAGAGGGGTGTTCTCTCTGTGTCAGAGGGGTGTTCTGCTGATGCTCAGTCTGTTCTGTGTTTCTGTCGTGTTGTTGGTTCATGTGAAACTTTTCACACATTATACGTGTGCAGGTGGTGCACACAGACACACGTTTATGTGAATGGACACATATTGTGTGTCTTAGTGTTTTGTGGTGAATGAGTCGGCGGTGACAGACACACATCAGAGTATCAGAGTTTTCAGGAGTCACATGGTGCCAGATCAGATCTGTTCTCAGATGAATTCGTGGAGCTGGAGGCACCAGATCACTGCACCTACAACCAAAACGATTCAATATGAACTAGTGTGAACGGGGCCTTAGATTCTATGCATAGCACCGGTAGTTGATTGGTCATTATTAGAATTGGGTCTGGTGTTTTTCAGGTGTGATGTTGGTTTTAATTTTCATTTACATGGTCTTACAAAGGTCTTTAAAAAGTCTTAAATTCGGGGTAGTCAAACCTGGGGACACTGTGCCAGCAGATTTATACAAAACCACTGACTTGTCCCAGTGTCTCTGTTTTGGACCAATCTGATCCTGCATCAGTAAAGAGAAACATAAACGGACATTTGTTTGGTTAAAATACAGAAAATCTTACACAAAGAAAACGTGACTCTACTGACTCACGTGTTTGTCATGAACGTCTCTGCAGAACAATTTTCCTTAATTACCCACTCGTTTCACATTTGTATTATTTATTTATTTATAAGGGAAGCTCCTTGAGATGTAACGAGGGCGTCCTAAATACATTAACAAAAAAAGCAATTACAGAAAAGAAAGAACAAAACAAAACAAGAGACAAACAACATTCACACTATACACACATGATCCTAAGACACACACATCGCTCTGATTTTATTATCCCCACACCTGCAGTTTTTCTGTAAATTACTGAAGAAAAAGGTAACTCTATGTCCAACAGAAAGTTCATAAAACAAAAATGTATTTTTATGGAAACAGGAGCAGGATGTTTGTTTGTATCTGGAGCCCGACGCCTTAAACCTCTGGATCGATGTGATTGATCAGATCGAGGAGGCGAGTTGTTCTGTTCATTTGGGGCTTTTAAGTTAAATGCTCTGCGGCCAATTTATTTTATTATAGTAGGAGCAATAAAAAATAGTCGTTAGTTCAGTGTGACCTAAATGATACGCTGATGTAAACGGAATAACTTTTGACTAATAACGTTTAAACACAAACTGTAAAAGTGCAGCTGTGTTCGGGACGTAAGAGAAAACCAGCTGCTGTGTTTTGTAGGGACATTTTAACACAAACCTAAACACACGATTATAAACGACATCGAACTATCATAGATTAGACACTGAGATATTCAGATAAATGACGTCTGCGCAGTCGAGTGTTGGTAGAAGTAAATGTGAAGCAGTTGTTTTTCTGACAGGTTAAGTAAAACAGTAAATGTTTGAATAAATATCCTCATCTGGTTAGAAACTTATTAAGCCACAGATGTTCATTTTGTCTTCTTATATGCTTTAACTTCTTGGGTTCTTTTTAAAGACAATGCAGTAAAGTGTGTTTATCTTGTTGACATGTTTCATGTGTGAACATGTGAGACAGACTCTTCTGTGACGCTGTTTAAATCCAGACTCTAAACATTTCTGTTTAACTCTGCAAATAACTGAAAGGTTTCATTCTGCACTCTTCTCTCCAATTTATGTCTCTCTTTTTTTATTTTAATCTTTATGATTATTTATGTTTTTATTTGTTTTTATTATGATTTTAATGTATTTCTTATTCTGTAAAGCACTTTGAATTACTTTGTGTACGAATTGTGCTGTACAAATAAACTTGCCTTTCTGCTGCTGCATCTTCAGAACTGTCCAGGTGTTGGTGGTGACGTGTCGTATATCAGCTGTTGTTACTTCCTGTAGGTGTGGTCAGCCTGATGGACCTGGCAGGTTGCTCAGACTGACCACGCCTCCCGTCGCCCGGTGTCTCTGGAGGAGGGTGTCCCAGGTGTGTGAAAGGAGGAACGCGCCGTCATCACGGTTAATTCTGTCCGAGCCTCGTTTCCTGATTTCACCGTCCTCCTTGATCCAGCGTTTGAACTTGTTGTTTTCTGATCCAATGACCTGAGCCTCGTCCTGATCCATAATGTGGTTGTTCCTTTCACACACCTGGGACACCCTCCTCCAGAGACACCGGGCGACGGGAGGCGTGGTCAGTCTGAGACACCTGCAGGTCCATCAGACTGACCACACCTACAGGAAGTAACAACAGCTGATATACGACACGTCACCACCAACACCAGGGACAGATCTGAAGATGCAGCAGCAGCCGAAACATGTCAACAAGATAAACACACTTTACTGTGTTGTCTTTAAAAAGAACCTAAGAAGTTAATGGTTAGAAACTTTCTTTAGAACTGAACCTATGTGTGAGTTAAAATTGAGTTAAAAATCTTAAGCAAAACCAAAAGATTTAAACTGATCAACTTTTACCTTAGGGTTCTATCAGTAAAGTTAATTACATAGTTTTTTTCCCAATAATTAAATAACAGGTTATATGTTTTTTTCATATTAAGTAAAAGTTTGTTTGAAACATTTTATTCTGACCAACCACCAAAAAAACAGGGATAATTCATGAAATTCTGGTCACACTAGAGCAGACATGTCCAACTCAGGTCCAGGGCCAAATGTAGTGTCCTGATTCATGAACTGGTTTCACTTGGTGGAAACCGTGTGACCTGCAGCATTAGGATTCGTTCACTCGACAGTAGACGGGGACTTTTTTTATTGAACCAGTCGCTGCTGTTTGGTCGTGACGTTTGTAAAGCTCCAAATCCTGTAGGAAGAAGAACAATAACGTCTTTCCCCGAGATCAAATTCACCAAACATTCTCTTTGTTCCGACTTTAAATCCTCGGGAATCTGGAGAATCGTCACCAACACAGAATGTCTGTCTCTTCTCTGATTGGCTGGAGCCTGAACTCGACACTTCCGGGGTTTTTGTGAATCGTCGAGTGTTTTCTGATTCCAGATCTAGAGCTGGAGAGAAATGAAATTGAGTGGAGACACTAGGGGGCGCCAGACTGACTACAAATTTAGCCTGTGATATAATTATATTTGTACGGAAGCCGAGAGGGTCACAACAAACACAAACGCCGCAACAAATACAAAAGCCACAACACAAACGCAAAAGCCACAACACATTAAAAAGCCACAACGGAAGTGACCGCAGGACTCTATTTTCCGATGGACCGATCGAGCGGCAAGTGAAGAAGAAGAACTACAACGTGAAACGAATAATGATAAAACAATAAATTACTTTTACTTATGTTTCCAACTTCTCTGTTCCTTTACTTTTCACGTTGTAGTTCTTCTTCTTCACTTGCCGCTTGATCGGTCCGTCGGAAAATAGAGTCCTGCGGTCACTTCCGTTGTGGCTTTTTGATGTGTTGTGGCTTTTTGATGTGTTGTGGCTTTTTAATGTGTTGTGGCTTTTTAATGTGTTGTGGCTTTTTAATGTGTTGTGGCTTTTTAATGTGTTGTGGCTTTTTAATGTGTTGTGGCTTTTTAATGTGTTGTGGCTTTTTAATGTGTTGTGGCATTTGCGTTTGTGTTGTGGCATTTGTATTTGTTGCGGCGTTTGCGTTTGTTGTGACCCTCTAAGCTTCCGTATATTTGGCCCACGAGATCAAAAATGTATTCGAGCTGCACACAGATTTATTATTATTTATATGCAGATGATTTATTCAAAATGTTGTTATTATTTTATATTCTGTTTGTTCTGGATTCAGTGTTTAAGCAAAACTATAATTAAACATTTATTTTATTACATTACAGATCTCAAAATAAGAGAAACATGCAGATGGTGTTGACATTTTTCAGTAAAGATTTAGTTTGACCCACGACTTAGTCCCAGCAGCTCAGGTCGTGTCTCGTGTCGGACTTGAGGTCGTTTAAAGTTCAGATTAAACTGGTGTTTGTTTGTTGTTTGTTTGTTTGTTTACAGGTTGGCGCGGCGTGGACTGCTCCCTCCTCTGCTCCAGCGGCTCCTGGGGCCTGAGCTGTAACCAAACGTGTCTGTGTGTGAACGGGGCCGCGTGTGACCCGGTGGACGGAGCCTGCACCTGCTCCCCGGGCTGGAGGGGCGAGCACTGCCAGGAGTCGTGCCCGGTGAGCGCCCGCCGCCCGCCGCCCCACGGACCTGCGCCCGGGCACTTTCACACAACACGCCCGGGCACTTTCACACAGCGCCCAGTCACTTTCACACAACACGCCCGGTCACTTTCACACAACACGCCCAGTCACTTTCACACAGCGCCCAGTCACTTTCACACAATACGTCCAGTCACTTTCACACAGCGCCTGGTCACTTTCACACAACACTCCCGGGCACTTTCACACAACACGCCCAGTCACTTTCACACAGCGCCCAGTCACTTTCACACAATACGTCCAGTCACTTTCACACAGCGCCTGGTCACTTTCACACAACACGCCCGGGCACTTTCACACAACACCCAGTCACTTTCACACAACATGTCCAGTCACTTTCACACAGTGCCCAGTCACTTTCACACAACACGCCCGGTCACTTTCACACAACACACCCGGTCACTTTCACACAACACTCCCGAGCACTTTCACACAACACGCCCAGTCACTTTCACACAGCGCCCGGTCACTTTCACACAACACGCCCGGTCACTTTCACACAACACACCCGGTCACTTTCACACAACGCCCAGTCACTTTCACACAACACGCCCGGGCACTTTCACACAACACGCCCGGTCACTTTCACACAACACTCCCAGGCACTTTCACACAACACGCCCAGTCACTTTCACACAGCGCCCGGTCACTTTCACACAATACGTCCAGTCACTTTCACACAGCGCCCAGTTACTTTCACACAACACCCAGTCACTTTCACACAACACGCCCAGTCACTTTCACACAACACGCCCAGTCACTTTCACCCAGCGCCCAGTCACTTTCACACAATACGTCCAGTCACTTTCACACAGCGCCTGGTCACTTTCACACAACACTCCCGGGCATTTTCACACAACACGCCCAGTCACTTTCACACAGCGCCCAGTCACTTTCACACAATACGTCCAGTCACTTTCACACAGCGCCTGGTCACTTTCACACAACACGCCCGGGCACTTTCACACAACACCCAGTCACTTTCACACAACACGCCCAGTCACTTTCACACAACATACCCAGTCACTTTCACACAACATGTCCAGTCACTTTCACACAGTGCCCAGTCACTTTCACACAACACGCCCGGTCACTTTCACACAACACTCCCGAGCACTTTCACACAACACGCCCAGTCACTTTCACACAGCGCCCGGTCACTTTCACACAACACGCCCGGTCACTTTCACACAACACACCCGGTCACTTTCACACAGCGTCCAGTCACTTTCACACAATACGTCCAGTCACTTTCACACAACACGCCCAGTCACTTTCACACAGCGTCCAGTCACTTTCACACAATACGTCCAGTCACTTTCACACAACGCCCAGTCACTTTCACACAACACGCCCGGGCACTTTCACACAACACGCCCGGTCACTTTCACACAACACTCCCAGGCACTTTCACACAACACGCCCAGTCACTTTCACACAGCGCCCGGTCACTTTCACACAATACGTCCAGTCACTTTCACACAACACGCCCAGTCACTTTCACACAACACGTCCAGTCATTTTCACACAACACGCCCAGTCACTTTCACACAGCGCCCAGTCACTTTCACACAACATGCCTGGGCACTTTCACACAACACCCAGTCACTTTCACACAACATGCCTGGGCACTTTCACACAACACCCAGTCACTTTCACACAACATGACTGGGCACTTTCACACAGCACCCAGTCACACTCCTCTTATAGCAAACAACGCTTGAAAAAGAACACAAAATAACTCAAGAAATCAGATGTTTTCAGGAGCTCAAACTCTGAAACACAAACACCAACAACAAACTGGACTCTGTGGAGTTTAAATGTTCCGTGTCACATTATTCTCTGACCTGGAGTTGTGTTTGTTTTGTTTTATTCACATGTTTAACACAAACCTCCACATTTAGCACAAGCTCTTCTCAAACTGAAAACACACTCAGAAAATGACAAATTATTCAACTCTGGACGAGAGTGAAGCGTCTGAGCTCAGAGTTCATGAGCTGGAAATAAGTTTATGATGCTCAATTTGAGATAAACAAACTTAAAATCAGTTCAGGATGAATGTTCAAGGCCTGAGAATAAATCCTCAAATGCCAAATTCTAAATAAAATTTTTTAAATTCAGATTTAGTTTTGATTTTCAATCTCTGTGTTCAGGTCGAGTCACTTTTTTCAAGTCACAGAAGAGCAGAGGTGGGACCTGCGAGTCGTGACTTGGACTTGAGTCAGACTTGAGTCACTATTTTTAGGACTTGAGACTTGACTTGATAAAACTGGATTAAGACTTGGGACTTGACTCGGACTTGAAGGTCAGTGACTCGAGACTTGACTTGATGTTTCTCCTAAAAAAATAAATGTTTTTATAAAATACTTTTCTCTTTACAGTTGATAAATGTGACGCTGAATTTTACAGAAACAAACTGGAACATGTCCCCACACTTCTGTTTGTACTTTGGATGAAACTGAAGTACTGTGATACTCAAAAGTACTACAGTAATATACAGTAATATACAGTAATATACAGTACAACAGAATGAACTACAGAGAACATGATCCTTCCATTTCAGTGGAGATAAAATAACTGTTATTTTAAATCTTAATTCTTTCTGTTCTGACCGTCATGATTCACTCTCAGATCTTGAGTGTGAAAAAAGGAAAATTAAAATGGAAAATTTGCATTTCTCAAACTCTTAAATAAACATGTTCTTAGGTTCTGTTTTTCAGACCGAGGGTTTGTTTTCATGTCTCACAGTTTGGACTCTTCTCTGTCGCTCTCTGAGGAAGAACAGTTTACTTTAAAATTCATATAAATTACAAAAATCGAAACTGTATTTGGTGCTTTTTGGTACTTTTTTTTAACTTTAAGCTCAAAACAGACGACTTGGACTCGACTTGGACTTATGGACCAGTGACTTGAGACTCGACTTGGACTTGCCTCAGACTTGAGGTCAAAGACTTGAGACTCACACAACAACGACTTGGTCCCTCCTCTGTTGTGACGTCATGTGTAGAGTCCAGTCGTCCCTGTGTCTCTGTCCAACAGATTTATACAAAATCACTGATCTGTTTTATAGTTTTATACAGAAATGTCCCAGTGTCTCTATTTTGGACCAATCTGATCCTGCAACAGTAAAGAGAAACATAAACTGACATTTGTTTGGGTAAAAAACAGAAAATCTGATTAAAAACGACAAAACACAAAGAAAACGTGACTAAACTGACTCATATTCGAGCCGAGCGCAGAATAATTTAACCATTTTATTATGACCAACCTCCACAAACCAGAGACGTCCCAGTGTTTTATTTTGAAAATCTGCTCACCGTAGTCGTGTAGTGATACAGGAAGTGCTCCACTGTGTTTTGTGATGTTTGAGATTTAAACCTAAACGAGTGTCTGTGGTTTGACCTTTGACCCTGTTGTGTCAGGACGGTACGTACGGTCTGGAGTGTCGCGAGCGCTGCGACTGTAGCCACGCCGACGGGTGCGACCCTGTGAGCGGGTACTGCCGCTGCTACCCCGGATGGACAGGTACCACCCGCACCAACACCTGCAACCGCAGCCACACCTGCACCCACACCTGCACCTGCAACCACATCAACACACCTGCAACCACAACCACACCCGCAACCACACCTGCAACCACACCCAGACCTGCACCCACATCAACACACCTGCACCCACACCTGCACCCACACCTGCAACCTCACCTGCAACCACACCAACACACCTGCACCCACACCTGCAACCTCACCTGCACCCACACCCACACCTGCAACCACACCAACACACCCACATCAACACACCTGCAACCACACTGCACCCACACCTGCACCCACACCTGCAACCACACAACACATGACACACCTGCAACCTCACCTGCACCCACACCCACACCCACACTGCAACCACACCACACCCCACACACACCTGCAACCACACCTGCACCCACACCCACACCACACCTGCAACCACACCAACACACCAACACACAACACACCTGCACACCCTGCACACCTGCACCCACACCTGCACCACACTGCAACACAACACACCGCACCACACAACCTGCACCCACACCTGCAACCACACCTGCAACCACACCACACACCACATCAACACACCTGCAACACACACTGCAACCACTGCACCACACCTGCAACACCTGCAACCACACCCTGCACCCACACCTGCAACCTCACCTGCACCAACACACCCACACCAACCACACCACACAACATCAACCGCAAACCTGCAACCACCCACCCACACCTGCAACCACACCAAACACCCCTGCAACACACCTGCAACACACCTGCACCCACACACCACACTGCCCAGACCACACCACACCACAACCAACACACCTGCACCCACACCTGCAACCACACCTGCACCCACACCTGCACCCACACCCAGACCTGCAACCACACCCACACCTGCAACCACATCAACACACCTGCACCCACACCTGTCCTCACACCCACCTTCTGTGCACAGAGTGAACCAGTGAAATCAGTCTTTTTGTTCAATGACAATATTCAGAGGTTATTTACTTCTATAAGGTATAGACCTTTTTCACACAGATCTGAAGTGTCCCGCTGAAGGTTTGTGGAACTTCTGGTGTTCTGTTGTTTTTCTCTGTAAATGTGTGTGTAAATGTGTGTGTAAGTGTGTGTGTAAGTGTGTGTGTAAATGTGTGTGTAAGTGTGTGTGTAAGTGTGTGTCGTATTCTCCAGCAGTTTCATAAATCTGCTCCATCACCAAATCTTCAACCAACAAACTCCACAAAGGAGAAACTTTACTTTTTACTTACATTATTAAGGATCAGAACATGAGTTGAGTTTGTTGTGTGACTAATGTGTCTCGTTGTTTCCTTTAAGTTTTGGTCTTTCCAGCAGATTTATGAAGCTGCAGGAGAATACAACACACATTTACACACACATTTACACACACATTTACACACACATTTACACACACATTCACACACACATTCACACACACATTACACACACATTTACACACACATTTACACACACATTTACACACACATTTACACACACATTTACACACACATTTACACACACATTCACACACACATTACACACACATTTACACACACATTCACACACACATTCACACACACATTTACACACACATTTACACACACATTTTGACAGAAAAACATGAACCTGAAGTTCCACAAACCTACAGTGTGACACTTCAGACGATGTGAAAAAGTCACATATTTAGTTCACCATGTTCCTTTTGTAGTTCTGAAAACACTATATTCACCCAAAACAATGTACTAATGTTTTTGCTGCTGTGAGTCTCTGTTTCCTTTGCTCTCTGTGCTCAGTCACTCCCCCTTCAGAGCAAAATCACTGTGTTCTGCTAATGAATCTACTGCTCTTTGAATCAGGTCGTTGTGTTCAGTTTCGTGTCATGTTTTTGTGTATTTATGGAGAATTGTCGTGTGGAACGTGGGGGACGTAGGTCTGTGGGCGGAGCCTCGTACAGACTCGTCCTGCTCACCGTGAGGAGGGTTTGAATACGACCCAGTCTCTGAGTCTGGTTCTGTGCACATGAAATGATCAGTTTGTTTTGCTGCAGTGACAAACTCTGGAGGTAAATCACACAGTTTAGAGCATTTTCTCTCTCTCTCTCTCTCTCTCCTCTCATCTCTCTTTCTTTCTCTCTCTCTCTCACTCCGTTCTCGTCTCGTTCGTCAGAATCAGACTCAGAGTAACTGATCCTCAAACCTTCACGTTGGATTTGTTTAAACATGATTTCAGACTCTGCTCCCTCCTTCACTTTATCTGTCTGCTCTTCCTCCTTTCCACTTCCTCCCTTCCTCTCTCCTCCCTCCCCTCTTTCTCTCCCTCCTTCTCTCCTTTCCTCCTCTTCTCATAGTAGCAGTTTTCTTTTATTACACTGAGAGTTGAAGTGAGTTTCTCTGAAAGGTCAAAAGTCTCTCTCTCTTCCTCTTCTTTCTTTCTCTTTCTTCTTTCAGTTTGCCTTTATTAGGCTCTGAGTTTGTGAAAGGTGCACTCTCTCTCTCTCTCTCTCTCTCTCTCTCTCTCTCTCTCTCTCTCTCTCTCTCTCTCCTCTCCTCCGTCGCTCCCCCTCTCCTGGAGCATGTGCTTGGTCTTTCCCTCTCCTCCTGTTCTCTCTTCTTCTATCTGTCTTCTCCTCTCCTCCCTCTCTCGTGAACCCTGCTCAGTCTCTCTCTCTCTCCTCTGTTGCTCTTCCTTTCCGTCTCTCACCTCTCCTTCTCTCCTCCCCCTCTCCTGAATCTGCTCGATCTCTCTCTTTTCCTCTCCTCCTCCTCCCTCTCTCCCGCTCGGTCTCTCTCTCTCTTCCTCTCCTCCATCACTCCCCCTCTCCTGGAGCACACTCGGTCTCTCTCTTTCTCCACTCCTTCTCCTCTCCTGGACCTGCTCGATCCCTCTCTCTCCTCTCCTCCCTTTCTCGAGGACTCGCTCTCGCTCTCTCTCTCTTCTTCTCCTCTCCTGGTCCCTCTTGGTCTCTCTCTGTCTCTCTCTCTCTTCCTCTCCTCCCTGTCTCCTCCTCCTCTCTCCCTCTCTCTTCCTCTGGTGTACCTGCCCCCTCTTCCTCTCCTCTCTCTCTCCTCTCGTGTTCCCGCTTGGTCTCTCTTTTCCTCTCCTGACCCGTCTTGGTCCCTTCCTCCTCCTCTCCTCTCTTCTCTCTCTCCGGTGCCCTCGTGTGTGTGTGTGTGTGTGTGTGTGTGCCTGTGTGTGTGTGCCTGTGTGTGTGTGTGTGTGTGTGTGTGTGTGTCTCTGTGGTCAGGTCCATCTGTTTGCTGTAATTGAGTCACCAGGGGGCGCCGCTCCGGACTCACAAACACACTGAGTTTAAAAGAACATTATTCTGCCACGACCCAGAGGAACCGAACAGAAGGAGGCGCTGCTTTAAAGATGCACTCAGGAACTTTCCAGGTGGAGGGCAGCAGGCGACAGGAGAAGGTGGAGTCAGATCTGTGGAGAGGCGATCCCACTCTGAGTAAAAAACATATAAACGGATCCATCAGAACTTTTAACCGCTGCATTTGAAACAGGAAGAGAACAGGGACGGGAATCCAGGTGTCAGACATTTGTTTTTCAAAATAAAACCAAAAATAAGAAAATAATATATATATATATATATATATATATATATATATATATATATATATATATATAATAAATAATACAAAATGTGTTTCTCACCTTCCACGGTGGTTGGTCTCTCACCCTCATTCAGCTCGGTCGTCTACCAGAGGACCTGGGAGCTTGACAGTTTCTGCGCAGTATCTTTGCTGTTCCCAGTTCTGCACTTTTCTGGACTGAGATGTTCCATTGTTTTTTCTGGTATCTGTTGAAGCCTCTTCCAGTTTGGGGGTTACAGCCCCGAGTGTCCGATCACCACAGGCACCACTGATGCCTTTACTTTCCAGACTCTCTCCAGCTCTTCCTTGAGCCCCTGGTATTTCTCTAGCTTCTCGTGTTCCTTTTTCCTGATATTACCATCTCTTGGTATTGCGATGTTCCACCACCACGGCTCTGCTCTGTTTCTTCTCCACCACCACTATGTCTGGTTGGTTCATCACCATCCTGTCAGTCTGTATCTGAAGTCCCACAGGATCTTGGCTCGGTCATTCTCCACAACCTTTGGAGGTGTTTCCCACCTTGATCCTGGGGTTTCCAGCCCGTACTCTGCACAGATGTTTCTGTACACTATGTCGCGCCACTTGGTTATGTCGCTCCATGTTTGTTTCCCTGCAGCATCTTACACCTGCAGTTATGTGCTGGACTGTCCTCAGGAGCCTCTTTGGCACAGTCGACACCGTGGGTCTTGTCTGGTGTGGTAGATCTGGGCCTCTATTGCTCGAGTGCCCAGGTCCTGCTCCTGAGCAGCCAGGATCAGTGCCTCTGTGTGTCCTTCAGACCCTCTCAAGACATTGGTAGGATTTCTTGATATCAGCCACTTCAGTTATGTTCCGGTGGTTCGCCCCATGTAGGGGTTTGTCCTGCCATGATGGTCCCTCCAGCACCTCTTCCTCTGGACCCCACTGTCTGAGACATTCTCTGAGCTCCTCATCTGCTGGGGCCTTTGTCCTTGATGTTCTCAAGGAGCTTGGATGTTTCATCCTGGACAGTGGTTCCCACACTCACTAGTCCTCGGCCCCCTTCCTTCCGGCCTGCGTACAGTCTCAGGGTGCTGGATTTGGGATGGAACCCTCCATGCAGGTCAGGAGCTTTCGTGTCTTAACATCTGTGGTCTGTATCTCCTCCTTTGGCCAGCTTACAATCCCTGCAGGGATCTGATCACTGGCAGGACGGAGCTGTTTATTGCCTGCACCTTGTTCTTGCCATTGAGCTGCTTCTAAGGACTTGCCTCACTCTTTGCAGGTATTTGGCCGTAGCCGCTTTCCTTTGTTGCCTCTTCGAGGAGCCATTTGCTTGTGGGATACCAAGGTACTTGTAACTGTCCTCAACGTCTGCTGTTCCCTCTGGGAGTGACACCCCCTC